ATCACTCTGTGCATTATCATTCAGACATTGAATAGTCGTTGTTTTCCCGAGATCTCAGAATTTTTGACTTTTTAAAAATTCTTCATCAAATTGGTAGAAAAGAAGGAAATCTGTTCATATTTAAAATATAGGAAATTAGAATTTCAAGAGCTTTTATATTAACTTTTTATCGTTTATATTATTTGTTTCTTCTTATTTTCGTTGTAAAAGATTTATCATTCTGAGTATATTTTCATCGAACTAAACATATTATTTTAAAAATGTAAACATAATAAACGTACCACTATTTTATTGAATGACAAGAAGTTTCACTTTTTAATAAGATTATTTGGTTACAGCTATATAACATACCTTAAGCAAAGAATACAGACCATGAGGTTAGATTTCGGACTATATATGATACTGTTTCATACTGTGATTAGAATTAACTGAATCAACTAACCATGAAAACAATACGTAAATGTGTACAGTAATAGTAATGGGACCTACTCCTGCACGCTTTTTTTTACTGCCCTAGTTGGCGCGCACATCTCCACCATTTTACTGCACATTCAATCCGCAGTGGATCCTGTCTCAACAGTGAATCGTCAGCCAATCAGAGCAAAGGAACTGATCGCTAATGGATCAAGCTGTGGCCTAGAGGTGTGTAGAAATAAGACCTATTATAGTAAATTAATGATAGGCAATGTTGCATCGATTCTTAGATAATCGATGCTTTTTTTCACTGACGTTTCCATACGATGTTTGAAGATATAGAATAATCGAGGAACCGATGTTTTCTTAAATTGATGTTGGAACTAGTTGGCGTAACTAGCGTATACTTTATGGCGGTAGTGTCGGGAAGACATTAAAATTCCGATTCCATATTGCCAGAACCGCGTATTTTGTTTTAAGTTTTCGTTTACTTTTTGTCCAAGCATGAAACCGTTATTTCATTCATTCGTTTATCCAACGTAGAGCTGTGCAGTCGTTGTTCATATTTACAAAAAGATTTTGGATTATCTTGCGTCCGGATAGAAATTTTCTTGAGAAACACAATATTTAATAGTTTTAATAGCAAACGTATTGCAAAGTTTAAATTGTTCCTGTACAGTATTGTATGATTTGAAGAAATTCTATTTCGGCGCCGTCGAAAAACGAATGAGTGATGAATATTTGGCAATTTGGTGTGAGTTTGTAGATTATATCAGTAATGCTCAATTGAAGATGGGAGTGCAAGAATTACCACTGCTACGCATGCGCCCTATCTCACGATTGTTACGTTCTTATTGGTTCCAAGATTCCGCAATTTGCCTACAGATGTCGCGACCGGTTTAGATTTTGATAAATTTGCGGTAAGAGTTCAAACGCTTTAAAATACTGAGGTACTAAATTCCCGAGCGCGTTTAAATGATGACGAAGACAGTCATGGAAAGGAGATAAAAATGGATCTCTTCAAATAATCGGCATCTAAACATTGTTTATTATTTATTTTCTTAAGTTCTTTAACATGGACAGCAAAGATACAATTCAAATTACTACCTTAATACTTGGGATGCCGATTATCTTCCAAACGATGCATCGTACCAGTTTTTAATAAGATATCATTTAGATTGCAAATGACCTCTATGAATCAAATATGTAAAAAGATTATGCATATGTGTCCATTAAAAAAATTGAATTGACCTTCATAACTCGGAAAGATCACAAATAAAATCAATAATTTACGTGGACCTTGTAGCTGACTCAAAACTGTGTAAATTTCTCTTATGAAAATTTTTTTTGTACCTTCAACCGTTTACGAGATATTTACTTTGACATTTATGGACAGACA